GATATCAAGTTTCACAAGTAAGGTAATAAGTACGTTTCTTTTGGGACAATGGTACCCATTTAGAGCCTCATTTCTGATTGCCTTTTGGCAAGCATTCATATGGATCCTTTCTTGGATGTCTGGGCACTTCCCTATCAGCAATTTTCCTATCTTTTCCTATCTTGTACTTGACCTTGCAGCCCAACTTAGCTCCTTGTCCATAATCAGTATAAGTCCAGATCTCTGGATCTCTGTTCTTTCTGAACAAGTACTTGAGATTCTCCTCACCCCACCCCTATCATTTATCCAGACCATCCCCAAATGGTTCAGTTTATTCATAAACACCTAGGAACCGTCTGGATTTTTCATCACTGTTAGCTGGTCATAGGGAATTCTCCCTAATGCCATAGTATGAATTGAAAGGGGAAGACGTATCAGTTGAGGGGAAGAGGCATTCTGAACCTGAGAAACTTACACAGCCTGTTTGTACCTTTAGGACCTGCTCACATTGATTCCCCATATATTCTGCTTCCACTGATGATGAAGTGTTGCTGTTCATCCACAACTTAATGGCTTGGTGGGAAAGATAATCCTAGTTGTGATGTCTTATTTGCTTAAGTAGTACAAAAATAAGATTCAAGAATTCATTTTCTACTAGGATCAACAACTTTAAAGGTAGTGCTGGGGGTGGGGGTATGTGGCATAAGTTGAAAGAAATACATTTTAAAAGTCTGTTATTAAAATAGATTGAGAAACCAAATTCAGAAATTAGGAGTAAGAAAGCATCTATAGTAATGATACTATCTTCTCCAACCTTTGTTGTATAGTATAAGTGAACACACACAAAATGTTTTCCTATACTTCTCCTCTTCCCATATTTGTTTTTCTAGCTACATTATGGACAAAGTCTGTACTCATAACTTCCCATATACATTTCCTTCTAATTCAGCCTTTGCTTTAATTTTTCCCCCTTGTCCTGGGGCTTAAACTCAAGGCCTGGGCACTGTCTCTCAGCTTTTTTTTTTTTTTCTCAGTGCTAGCTCTGCCACTTGGAGCCACAACTCACTTCTGGTTTTCTGGTGGTTAATTAGAAATAAGAATCTCATGGACTTTTCTGCTTGGGCTGGCTTTGAACTGCAACCCTCAGATCTCAGCCTCCTGAGTAGCTAGGATTAGAGGTATGAGCCACCAGTATCTGGCCTAGCCCTGTTTTAATCTTAAAACTACTTTATAGGTGATACCATCATGTGAATAAATCATATTGTTTCTCTTTTTGTAATGTTAATCAGATATGTATATTGATCATCGCTTAACTATTCAATAAGAGACAAAGTGATAATCTGTTATTGTTTCATTTTAGTTTAGAATACTGTTTGTTTTATTAATACATTTTATTTAGAATACTTGAGGAATACACTTTTTTTTGCCATGAGAAATACTATATACAAGGAAAGCCCATATAGATACCCATTCTCACCCTCTTACCAGTTTTCAAAATGAATTGGTGTCTAGCATTCAAAGGAGAGTACCAGTGAAATATTTTTCCACTATGAACTTGAGCATTTGAACATACTTGTGTTTCAGTAACTTATTGTTATGTCTACAAGTGGCCAGTGGGAGCTTATTCAGGCAAATTCCTGAGTCCCTTTGATCTGGGTCTAGATAAAGGTCTTTGATAACTTCTTGTACTCTAGTTTAACAGCATGTTCCAATCAGTCTTACACTCACAAACTGTGGAGGACATGGAATTACTTCTTTTCCCAAGATTCTTGTTTATATAGTACTGAGGAATTGAACCCAGGGCTTCATGCATGCTAGGCAAGCACTTTAGCACTAAGCCACATTCCCAGCCCTCAACAGTCTTTTAGTAGAAAATGAAAATATCTTAGCAAAATACCTTACTGGTCAGGAAGTGCTGAGTAAAACTGCATGCTTACTGCTTCTATTACAAATCTGTCTTCTCACTTCTTAATATTAACAAAAGATTATACTCTACCGAAAAAAATCATTCAAAAGCATCTAAAAGTTTTCATATTAGCAGGTTTGGTTAAAAGTGAAGGATCATGCTGGGCGCTGGTGGCTCACGCCTGTAATCCTAGCTACTCAGGCTGAGATCTGAGGATCGCGGTTCAAAGTCAGCCCGGGCAGGAGAGACCGTGAGACTCCGATCTCCAATAAACTACCAGAAAACCGGAAGTGGCGCTGTAGCTCAAGTGGTAGAGCGCTCGCCTTGAGCTGAAGAGCTGAGGGACAGCGCCCAGGCCCAGAGTTCAAGCCCCACGACTGACCAAAAAAAAAAAAAAGTGAAGGATCAGAAGGAAGTTTTTAAAACTGGCTGATAAAAATTTCTTCAGTATTTCCCATCTCCCAACTGTGTAGAGTCAGAAATTTGAGAAAAGAGAAGTTTTCAAAAAGTATGCTTGAAAGTTAACAATGATGCCATTCATAATCCTTTTGAATTAGAAAGGGAGAAAGGATACTTTTAGAGTAGAAAAAATCTGACAGATACTACCTTAGCCAGATGATCAAAATTAGCATCACCAGTAAGTTACTGTCCTTTATCTCTCAAGGTGATTGATAGAGGGCACACAATTTGTGAACATTCTTTCCAAAACTACATTACCTGATTCATGAGGGAACAAGAAGGCAAACCCAAGCTGAGAAACATTCTATAAAATTTTAAACCTATACTGTTTAAGTCAAAGTCATGAAAGATCTTTCACAAAACTAACATGAGGCTGGGAATTTGGCTTAGTAGTACAGTGCTTGTCTAGCATGCAGGAAGCCCTGGGTTCAATTCCTCAGTACCACATAAACAGAAATAGCCAGAAGTGGCACTGTGGCTCAAGTGGTAGAGTGCTAGCCTTGAGCAAATGAAGCTTAGGGACAGTACCCAAGCCCTGAGTTCAAGTCCCAGGACTGGCAAAACAACAAAACTGAGATAACAGGTAACTAAATACAAGGTGTGGTCCTGGGATTGGGGGGGAATGAGCCTGCATCAAATACAATATCCAGATAACTGGCAAATTTGAAAATAGTCTATCTGTTAGATACTAGATTACCAATATTAAATTTCCTCATTTTAAAAAATAAAACTTGGGCTGGGAAGGTGGCTCAGTGGTAGAGCACTTGCCTTGCATGCTTGAGGGCCCTGGGTTTGATTCCTCAGCACCACATAAGCAAAAAAGAAAAAAGCCGGAAGTGGTGCTGTGACTCAAGTGGTAGAGCGCTAGCCTTGAGCTGAGGGACAGCGCCCAGGCCCAGAGTTCAGGCCCTATGACCGGACCCAAAAAAACAAAAATGATAAAAATAAAACTATTGCCAGGCGCTGATTGCTCATGCGTATAATCCTAGCTACTCAGGAGGCTGAGATCTGAGGATCCAGATTCAAAACCAGAGCATGTATGAATGTCTGGAAGATTCTAACCTCCAATTAACCACCAAAAAGCTGGAAGTGGAGTTGTGGCTTAAGAGTAGTAGAGTGCCAACCTTGAGAAAGAGATTAGAGACAGTGCCCAGGCCCTGAGTTTAAGATCCAGGACCAGCACACACACAAAAAAATTTAATGTAAAATGCTACCATTTATAAATATCAAATTACAGTATTATTTTTGGCACCTGTGTATCAATACCTAGTGACAGACCAAAAAAAAGTTAACAAAAAAATGTGATACCTGTACACATGAAATTTTGCACAGCTATTAGAAAGAATATATAATTTGCAGAGAAATGGATGGACCGAGAACAAATCATGTGAAGTGAGGTAACCCAAGCACAGAGACACACAACGCATGTTTTCTCTCATGTTGAAGATAGATCTAAAATACACTGGGACATAATAAATTCTACAGTCTCTAGGCATCACACACAGTGAGACTAAAGGAGGATACTTGTAGAGGAAAGGAACAGAAAGGCACAATGCCTGTGTGCATCTGATCATACAAAATAATATTCATTGAAATGAACTCCGGGCAATTGAGGTTTTTCTTTTTTACTGTTTCTTTTTGTTCTTTTTCTTCATTTATGTGTCTTTGAGAACATAAGGGGAGGCACAGAAATGAAGGGACCAAAGGGTAAACAAATGGTCACTGGAGACTGTGTTGAAAATGAACTATACAACTTTGTAGGTGGGGATGGGAGGGGAAAACTGGGAGTAAGGGAAGGGTGATATTGTCCAAAAAGAATGTATTCTTTTCATGCCTGTAATCCTAGCTGCTCTGGAGGCTGAGATCTGAGGATCACAGTTCAAAGCCAGCCAGGGCAGGAAAGTCCGTGAGACTCTTATCTCCAATTAACTACCAGAAAACCAGAAATAGCACTGTGGCTCAAATTGGTAGAACACTAGCCTTGAGCGAAAAAGTTCAGGAACAGTGCACAGAGTTCAAGCCCCACGACTGACAGGAAAAAAAGAGTGCTTGTTGCCAGGCACCAGTGATCATACCTATAATCCTAGCTACTCAGGAGGTTGAGATCTGAGGATCATAATTTAAGGCCAGCCCAGGTAGAAGAGACTGTGAGACACTTATCTCCAATCAACTACCAGAAACATCAGGAGTAGAGCTGTGGCTCATGTGGTAGAGTGCTGGCATGGGCAAAAAAGCAGCCCAGGAACAGTACCCAGGCCAGGTGGGCCACAAATGTGTGAGTGTGTGTGTATGTATATGTTTATGTATGTGTATGTATGTGGTTAAGGTAGATATTTTCTGATTTGGTTAGATTTCTAAGATCTCTTACTGCAAACAGCTTGCTTCAAATACATTATCCTTTTTTTAATCTTTAAAAGCACATTGTGCACATTTGTATTGGGCAAAACACCATACAAAAGCCAATGAAGCTTAATCACCCTGGGAGGAGTTAACTTATACTATTCTGTATTTATTTTATACTCTTGTATCTTAGCACTTTCAAATTGCAGGTAATGTTAACGTGTTTCTATATAAATGAATGTGGATTACAATTTATCTAAACATAGAGGAATGGCTATGATCTTATTAGTAAAGATGATGTCCTCTTTTCTCCTAGCTGATATGCATTCAGGATGGTTACCTCTCCCTGCTGACAGAAACTGGAGAAGTTCGTGAGGATCTTAAATTGCCAGAAGGTGAACTTGGCAAAGAAATAGAAGGAAAGTACAATGCAGGTGAAGATGTACAGGTAAGACCTATGGGAGAATTGTCTTAAAAAGAAAAATAAGTTTGCTTCTATGTTGAACCCAAAATATACACATATATGAAAAAACATACAAGGCCATATCCATATGTATATAAATCATATACACACACACACACATACACACAACTGACTAAAGTATGTATGCTGTACAGGAATAGATTCCATGGTATAACCCCTTTGAGCATAGTAGGAAGTTCAAAATCAATACAGGAAGCTGATAGATCTTGACTGAGGTGGGGTGGAGGCAAGCAAGAGAGAGGATAGACAAATAGGAAGAGTGGGGGAATAATAATATACATATGGGAAAGTGGAATTAGGAAACGGGAAAGGATGAATAGCAGCGGAGAAAATACACATAAATGGTCATGTCACATCTGAGGGAAGCTAGGAGGAGGGCACAGAATCAGGGAAATGGGTTAAAAAAAAATACAACAGAGGGGCCCAACAGCTGCATTAGACATTGATGAATGTGAACTAAGCAACTCAAGGGCAGCGATGGAAGGGAAGGAATGAGAGAAAGGAAACAGCTTACAGGTTAAAATGTGTTTGTGACTTTAGCTAAGTATTACTGTCCCACAATACTGTGAAATTTGTGAAAAATTATGTAATCAATTTCAATAAAGAAAAAAAATGGGGCTGGGAAGGTGACTCAGTGGTAGAGTGCTTGCCTTGCCTGACTGAGGCCCTCGGTTCGATTCCTCAGCACCACATAAGCAAAAAGAAAAAAGCCGGAAATGGTGCTGTGGCTCAAGTGGTAGAGTGCTAGCCTTGAGCTGAAGAGCTGAGGGACAGCGCCCAGGCCCAGAGTTCAGGCCCCACGACTGGACCCAAAAAAGAAAAAAAAATGGTCTTGTCACACTGAAATCTCCTTGTACAACTATTTGAAGATAATGTTTTAAAAGGGGGAGGGGGAGACCGTGAGCTTAAACTAGCATAAAACACTAATGTAATCAACTGCAATGTATGAAATGTACCCTAAAAAGATAAGAGAAATATTGAAAATAAGGCATTTCTCTTCACACCCTTAAAGACCCATTACCAAAAAAAGGTATCGAAATTTGGTCTTGCTGCATTGACAATGTCAGCTTTATGTTTGTTGTGAAAGTTTGTATATGAACTGTTCTTTCTTTCCTGTGTATGCCTATACACATTTGAACTCAAGGCTCACCATAGATATACTTCCACTTGAGCTTTGTCTGCAGTCTGGCATTTTGCTGGTGAATTAGAGATGGAGTCTCACAAACTTTTTCTACGTAGGTTGGCTTCTAACCTCCGTCCTTTAGGTCTAAGTCTCCTGAATAGATAGGAATATAGGCATGAGCCACTGGCACCCAGCTTTGCAAATGATCTATTCTTCAAGACTAGAAAGGATACTACAAAGGACTCCTAAGTAGTAGAGAATACTCTTTGTTGCATCTTCTAGTTCTTCCCCCTTTCCTTGGAAATTCTCTTTCAGAAAAGTATAGTTTGTTTTTGATAACGTCTCTTCAAACTCAATATAAATCCAGGCACAAGTGGCTCAGGCCTATAACCCTTGCTGCTCAGGAGGCTGATATCTAACAATCACAAAGCCAGCCAGGTCAAGAAAGTCCATGAAGCTGACGCTGGTGGCTTAGGCCTGTAATCCTAGCTACTCAGGAGGCTGAGATCTGAGGATCGCAGTTCAAAGCCAGCCCGGGCAGGAAAGTCCATGAGACTCTTATCTCCAATAAACCGTTCAGGAAGTGGCGCTGTGGCTCAAGTGGTAGAGCTCTTGCCTTGGGCTGAAGAGCTGAGGAACAGCACCCAGGCCCAGAGTTCAAGCCCCATGCCAACCAAAAAAAAAAAAGTCCATGAGATTCTTTTTGTCTAACCACCAAAAAGCTGGAATTGGATCTGTATAGCATCTGTTTTGAGGAGGGAAAGCTACCTGCAAACCTCAGTACCAGCACATGAAAAAACTCAGTTTATGCAGAACATCTCCAAATACACAGTATATGGTGAACAAAATAGAACGTGTATATGTGTTGTCTTCCAAATAACGTTTTGCCTGTATTTTTTTTCCTTCTAGGTGTCTGTCATGTGTGCAATGAGTGAAGAATATGCTGTCGCCATAAAGCCCTGCAAATAAATGGGAACATCAGGCATGAGCGATTCTTAGGTCTGGACATGTTGTACAGATCTAAAGTTTGCGTCTACATAATTGTCACCAAAGCTATGGCCCTCATAAGCAACCTCATTCTTTTTATTGTTTTGAGATTGTGCTTGGTTAGTTTGGCAGGCATTTTTTTTAAATAGGAATCTTTTCTATATCATTCCTGTGGTTTTTAGTGTGAGAGTAAGAAACAGACAAGACAGTTGTAGCAGATATGATTTTGTCTGAACAAACTACTCCTGAATTTTAGCTAAATGGTTAATAAACCAGGGTTCCAATTCAAACTATGTAGCATTAGTGGTACTGAAGTACCACATTGAGGTTGAAATGCTCTATATTCATTTCAGACTTGATATCCTAGAGTACATAGACTGTGGGTTGGAATTGTCACCATTTGAACAAATACAAATACTTAAAAGTCATGTCTAAAAGTCATGTTATCAAAAAGAGTTACCTTGGTGGCCACATGGTAGCCACGTGAATACCTCAATCATGCCATTTCTTTGCCAGACTGTTGGCAGACTTAATGCAACCTTATTTGATTTTGGTTCCTGCTTGGGACAATTGAGTTGTAGGGGTGAATATGAGTAGGTCCGATTACAAAGAGACAAAGGCAACAGTGGAGGAGGTTATTAAACTGTAGGTTGTTTGAGACTCTTGTTTTTTGTGAATTTTTTTTTGCTGGTTCTGGGGCTTGAACTCAGGGGTTGGGCTCTGTCCTTGAGCCTCTCTGTGCTCAAAGCTAACACTCTACCACTTGAGCCACATCACCACTTCCAGCTTTTTCTGTTTAATGTGATACTGAGGAATTGAACCCAGAGCTTCATGTATGCTAGGCAAGCACTGTACCACTGAGCCACATTCTTAGCCCTATTTGAGACTCTTGTAAGCAGCATAAGAACTAGAATGTGGAGCCTGTGTTACGTGTTTCCGCACATGTACTTCTTGTCCACCTGTCCTAGGGCTTGATTTTAGGGCCTGAGGCGCTTTGCTGGGCGTTTTTTTGTTTGGCTTAGGGCTAGCATTCTTCCACTTGAGTCACAGCTCCACTTCTGCCTTTTATTTGGTGGTTAATTGGAGAGTCTCAGGACTTTTCCTGACTGGGCAGGCTGCAAACCACAATCTTCAGATCTCAGCCTCCTGAGTATCTAGACTTACAAGCATGAGGTACGAGGGCCCCGCCTGGAAGTGGCTTTCTTTTGTTCTTTTAACCTTTGCCCCCAAGCTCAACTCCCTTTCACCCAGCCCCCTTGCCAGCATAGAAAGAAAGGGTTCACCGGCTTTGGATACAATGCAGTACTTTTTATTTTTGTTGATTATTTATTAGCAACCACACTTCCCAACCATTTTTGGGTAGGTTTGTGTGTATGCATGCATGCATGCACATGCACACTTGTGTGCATGCATGTATGCATATATGCATACGCTGGTGCTAGAGTGTGAACTCAAGGCCTGAGCTGTCCCTTAGCTTTTTTACTCAAGGCTAACACTCCACCACTTGAGTTAAAGGTCCATTTATAGCCTTTATAGCCTTTTGCTGGAAAAGTCCCTAGACTTTCTTGCTAGGCTGGCTTCAAATCTGAATCCTGAGATTTTTGCCTTCTGAGTAGCTGATTATAAGCATGAGCCACAGGTGCTCAGCTAGGTTTTTATGGCATTAAAATGTTTGTTGGAGTAAAACTGAATTCTTGATTTAATGTTGGAATTATAACTTTAAATCAGTTTATTGTTTACGTGTTTCTGAAGTGAAATGAAGATGGATCATGAAAGAAATACTACTTTATTTGAAAATTATGATTTAATTTATCTTGAGTATATGTGAGGATTTTATTGTTGTTGTTCTCTTGTGTCTTAACTCAGTTACTGACAGGAAACAAAACTAGGGAAGAGTTCCATAGTGATTTCTTTCTGGAGTATTTCAGCTGACACCTTGGGCTTCGTCTTTTGGATGGTGTTGGTATCATTTCCTGAATCTTAGACTTGGCTCCAGGGTCTATAAGGAACATTGACTCAGTAGTAATCATTATATTGGAATGAAAATCATAAAGAAGTCACCAGTAAAATCGCAGTAAAATTTTAATTGGATAAGATTGGCTCTCAGATCTCTTCTCATCATGCCTTGACCACCTACAAGAAAGTATATCTACTAGTGTAACTCATCAAATCAGTGACTTGAAATAGACTTAGGAAAACAAGAAGATCCTGAGCTTTTACTTAATTTATACTTTTTAGTCTTGTGTTAGCCTCAACAGACCAATTTTGAGAAGTAGGATACCTTAAGAGAAGTTAAAGGAAGAGTATTCCAAAGCACAGGCAATGCTGAGGGTATCATTGATTATAGTATGACATCTTTGCTTCTGCCCATTTTTAAAGCACAATTAGGAATTAGGCTAATTTCTTTCCTGTGTTCTATTTAAGTACTACCTACTGCTCTAGCTTTTTTGTATTCTAATATGTATCTTACTTGTACTGGTTGACATTGTTAACTACAGGAATTTGAGAAAGTTCTTAATCTGTGCTGCTTGCTGGTCCACTCATCTGACCCAAGGTAATCAATCATACATATTAGTGTTCTTATTAAGTACTAACTCTGGACTAGCATGTCCTGTTCCTCCTAAGTTGTCAAATGTTGCATAATCAAAATTTCAATCTCAGTGATAGTGTTCCAAGTTATAATAATGCATCTCCAGCTCCATACTTTGAATGGCAGAAGTTATTTATGCATAAGAATTTCATTTTAAATACTATCTGAAGTGTATGTACTCTTAACATATAAGCATAGCTTTTAAAGATACTGTTGATTTTCACCTAAGTCAATAGGTGTTTCTCTAGAACAAAACATTTAATTTAGTAAAGCTTTATAAATTATATTCAAAGGAAACAGGGAATATAACCTTTTTTAACATAGAACAGAAGTGGCTTCATTCTTGATATTAGAGAAATGTTACAAGTTGATTCATAGTATTGTATTTTTTTGTAACACACGTTAAGTATCACAAGTTACCATATGTAGACTATAGATGTCATGTTAATAGATTGTATAATGATGCACTGTTTTGTCTATGGTTCACCAATTTGTAGACAGTATTAATAAGTATAATCCTATTTCTTTTTAGAAATAGAATTTATACTGTGAAGACTGTTGTTGTATTTGCTACAGTGTTGTATCCCTGCTGACCTAGAACAAATTCTTACTGCTTTGAAATGGCTTATACATCATAAGCATAATTCTGTTTCTTCCCATGTTCCCCTCCAAGGGCTGCCAGTCACTTAAAGAAATTGTGACCAACAAAGCTCTTGACTCTGTTTCCCCTTAATGGTACAAATTTCTGTACCAGTGTTTTATGGTAATTAACCAAGACTCCTGCAGCCAGACCATGATTTCTTTACCAAGAGATGCTGCAGTTAAATGTTCCCACTGTAAAATTTGGGGGCACAACTTTTTGTTACAGCACAATATGTATGTATGTACTTGTACAGCGTTGTGTGTTCTTTTCCAAAGTCTATCCAACTTTTAAAAGTACTGTAGTCTGGTAGTGCCTCAAATGTTGGTCATTTTCTTTTAAACTCACAACTTTTCCAGAGTTTGATTTTGTGCTTTGAGATTTCTCGATTAGATTATTTCTAGTTGAGCAGTAATTGGAATGCATTTTTCTCAGGGCTGTGTGTGCTAAGAGCTGAAGTTTCATTGTTTTAAAACTAGCTGGCTGCAGGTATATTGCAAGTTTTCCTAACGTTGTGATACTGCAACACAAACTCATTTTTTAAAAGTCCTTAATGTCAGTACATTTAAACCAAGTGGTTAAGAAAAAAATGGAAACAGTAGCAGCTATACTGAAATCTTGCCATATTTTTCATTTTAGAATAGAGTTGGGTGGTCTTAACCCTATCCTTGATAGCATTCTTTTTTGGCATGGACCCTAAAGATAATTTTGGAGTCAGACATAGATAGAATGGTTCTCAAACGTATTTAGGGACAACAGAAAACACAACATTCTTTGGGGTACCTAAAAATGTTTACATACTGAATTATATAATATAAACTAGAAAAGAACACACTGAGAAAATATGGCTCTTGAGCAGTATATTTACATAACTATATTGCATGGAGAATCAGTTTCCATTTTTCCAATGTTATTTAGGTACATTTCGTAGTGGTCAAGCCTTTTTTTTTTTTTTTGCTAGCATTCAGATATACCAATGTGTAAGAAAAATTCATGATGGAAAAATCTTGAGAAAATTCAGTCTTTAAGTTTTGGTTTTTTTTTTTTCTCTGAATAGGGTAAATGGTATCCTCATTTGATTTTAACTGGGAATGTGTTTCTGTAGAAACATGACTTGAAATCATAGTCTAATTTATTGTTTTTCATTAAATGAGCATCTCAACCCCAACTTAACCAAGTGAGGTCAAGTGCCTGCAAGTGCTGTAAGCATCCAGTAAACCTGTTCTCTTTATGTGAAAGACATAGCAATGCACATCAGGCCTTCATCTACTAGAAACACACTTATTGCCAAATTTTTCTGTTTGCTGTGATTTCCTTTTCTTACAATAATGTATTTTCCAATGAAAAGAGATTCTTATCTAAAGTCTCTCAAACTATTCTGGATATTGGTAGAATTTATTTTGCCTTAGTGTACCATTGCATTAAAAAAAAAAAAAAAAACCGCTGGGCATTGGTGGCTCAAGCCTGTAATCCTAGCTACTCAGGAGGCTGAGATCTGAGGATCACGGTTCAAAGCCAGCCCAGGCAGGAAAGTCCA